CCGAAAATTTTTCTAAGTATTTTTCGTTCAAAGCGTCTGAGCTTTTCTTCGTTTGCTTTGGTCTTGGTCCACGTTTCGCATTCGTACACATGCTTGAGTTTTATCCATTGTGGCGTAAATGAGTCTAATTAGCTTTTGTGGTATTTCCAATTCAGCTAATATTTGATGACTTGATTTTACCTAGACATAATTCCACTTCCTCGCGTTTTCGTTCCCATATTAGAATTTTATGACATCAACATTCTTCTAAAAATTCTTCGAGTTATTTGTGATACGCTGGTTGATTTGTCTGTTTCCGTTGTTCGAGTTCATCCCAAGACTTCATATGCAGCTTCCTTTAGTGATCCTAATATATGGGCATAAAGCATACTTGTGTTGTGGTAGACATATGCACATAAATATATAAATAATTAAATACTTCCTATCACCACACAAGATAAAACAGTGGAAAATGCTCAGAAAATGGAAACTGTGCTATAAATTGACTCTTTCACGATGGGGCCTACTTTAAAGAGTTTTGTAGAAAGCAAACTAAACCAATTATTATGAGATGAGAAGAATTTTGGAATTCTAATTCGTACACAAAGGAAAAAATAATAATTGATGGGTAATTTATCGGTAAGCAATTCATAGAATATGGATGAAATACTGACTAGAAACATATTAAATCTTGAAAAAAGACATACTTGAGTATAGAATAACCCTTTAACAAATCAAAATCTGTGAAAGTCTAACATCAGTATCATCACTAGTTTTCCATTAATATGGTCTTTGCTATTTTCCAGAGAAAACACATATTCTAATAATATCAGCAAGATTTGTTATGATCAGTAATCAAAAGATAAACAATATTAATTTTTAACGACTTTATTGATGCACGCCGAATTTAAAAATATATAATGGCGCGTCTGTTTTTTTTTAAACAAAAATAATTTTAAAGGACACATATGCCGTCTGTTTTGAGAAAATTAGTTTCTATAAATTATTGAATCAAAATGCATTTTATAAATATAATTCAATGATGTTATTGTATTATTGTTGGAAGCTGTTACGACGGGACCCATCTATTTCAATACTATTCTTTTAGCACATAATTTGATAACTGGGTTTTAGGAATTCTGTTTATAAATACCTATTACCTGTAATTTATATTGTCTGGTTTTATTTAAAGAATTAAAGTTCAAAATATATTGGTTATATAAAAGATTATACAGACGACACAGATTTTTAAATTAATTACAGGAAAAAGAATAGGGGATAATAAATAAAATTCTGGATTTAACAGAACGGAGGAGAAACTGCAAAATAGAGATAAGAGTACAAGAAATGGCATTACATGGACTGGAGACAGACAGGGTGACTCGTTAAGCCTACTTCTCTTTAATATAATAATGGACGAAGTAATACGAAGTAATACAGTACGTAAAGGTCTTGGTTACAGAATGGGGAACAAAGAAATCCAAATATTATGTTATGCAGATGACGTCGCATTAATCGCCAAGACAGAAGACGAGCTCCAAAGATTAACACAAATCTTCAATACAACAGCCAAGAAATACATGATACTATTAGCAGAAAAAGCAGAAAAAACCAAATGCATGACAACATATAAATACCCACTAAGATGTAAAATCGAAATTGTTGGGAAAATAATAAAGCAGGAATCAAGGTCTAGATATCTGGGATTGGATATAATTAGTTACGAAGATGTTAAAGAAGTACGACAACAAAGCTTAGTACGTAAATCGGCGGGATCTCTTAATGACACAATCTGGAAGAACAAACGCCTAAGACAAGACACAAAAACAAGAATCTATAAATCAGCAATTAGACTTATAGAGGATAGGATAGTACGAATAGCATGCGATAAGTCTTCGCATCTTCGCAAAAAAAGCATCTTCTCATATCTTTTTTTCTTGTCCTATATTTACCTCCTTCATTATGTTTTCTTCTTCTAAATACCCCTTCATTATTTCTATTAATCCTTGTAGATATAATATCCTGTTCGTTTTTTGTTGTCATACCATAAAAGTTACCAAACATAATGTTCCTTTGATCTTCGTTCACTTTTTCTGACATTTGAGTAGACACCTAAAAGATGTATTTTATAAACTTAAAAATATTATATTTTTTTTGTCTTACTTGCACTGAGGTCCCATTTTCTTTGCTTCCAGGCCTTATTTTTGTAGCTTGTATATGTTTGCCCTTTAACTCTAGGGTTTCTGATAACATTACGCTGATATTCATTTGATTTTCTAATTACTTTACGCCTTTTATTAGCAGGTTCTCCATCTTTAGCGTTTTCAGCACTGGCGGTTAGTTGATCGATAATCATAACACTATTAAAATATGAACTGTTTTCTGCCAATATACAGACAACTTTTTGTAAGCAACAATAAGAACAAACAATAGAAACACTATGAATTTTATATGTTATGCAAACGTCGATATGCAAAATGACAACTGACAATTTAGTACAGAAACAACCTTAGTGCGGGAATAAGGTGGTTTCAGAAACACATGAATATTTTAAATCGATATAAAATCAAGCTAATTCAAGACATTTGACGAGAAGAAACAATGCCAGATAAATGGAAAGAAGTGGTTATTGTACCAATACACAAAAAAAGAAACAAAAAACAATGTAATAACTACCGGGGAATAACACTCCAAAACACCACCCACAAAATCCTTGCAAACATCCTGCTAGAAAGAACCAAAACATACACAGAAGAAATCGTTGGAGATTATCAATTCCTTGGTTGGATTTAGACCGGGCCGCTCTACTATTGACCAGATATTCACAATAAAACAGATAATGTAAAAATGCTGGGAGTTTGATCGTGAGCTTCATCAGATGTTCATAGATTTTAAACAAGCATTTGATAGAGTATGCAGGCCCAGACTGTGGACAGCGATGCAGGAACTTGGCTTTCCAAAAAAACTAGTCAGCTTGATACGGATGTGCAAACTTACTACTGGCATTTGCAGACGATATCGATCTAATAGGAAACACACGATTAAGGATGAAGAAGACTTTTGTGAGGTTCGAGAAGGAAGCAGAGAAGCTGTGGCGCCAAATCAACGAAAACAAGACGAAATATTTGTATATGAGCCGCAATAACCAAAGCAGAGACAGAATCGGTCAGAACATCACCATCGATGACTTTAACTTTGAGCGCGTTAGAGAATTCAAGTATCTTGGAACAACGATAACTGAAGTCAATAACGGATTACAAGAAATAAACAACAGAATTCAGGCTGGCCACAGATGTCTTTTTGCCCTCCAAAACCTTATAAAATCGAAACAACTAACAAGATGTACGAAGATACAGGTCTATAAAACAATCATACGGCCCGTTGTGATGTATGGAAGCGAAACGTGGACGATAACAAAGGCAAACGAAGAGAGACTATGTGTTTGGGAAAGAAAAATAACAAGGAAGATCTTTGGTCCTGTGCTGGATGAAGCATCAGGACAATATAGGAAAAGAACTAACAAAGAGCTCGAAGAACTCTACCCAGACGCCAACATCATAAAAGAAATAAAGTCCAGAAGACTCCACAAATCAGAAAACATTCTAACGAATGAACAGTAAGACTGGTGTGGGAGGAAGTCACAACTGGAAGGAGACCAAACGGACGCCCTCTTCTCCGGCGGCGAGATAATATAGTAGGAGACCTAAGCACTATGGGCGTGAAGAATTGGATGGAGGTTGCTCAAGACAGAAAACAGTGGAGGCATGTTGTCGAGTCGGCTAAAACATACGAAGGGTTGTAAGGCAACGGAGTAAGTAAGTAAGTAAGATATAAAATCAACTATGCTTACGGGACTTAGGTATATTCTGCATTACATTGTGTGTAACCCATAGAAATACATGTTGGTGTTATAAACTCAAAATCGCCAAAATGTGACTTAGGTTATTTCTGAAATAAGCGATTCAATTATTGTTGACTACTTTACTGTTGTGCCTAGGTTCACTGCCCGAATTTAAACTGACATTTACATATTTATCACTATCACACAAGTTCGAAATATCTTATGCGTTTGAGCCTGCGGGCTAGGTCTTGATTATCTAAGTGTGCGTTCATAACGGAGACCATTGCGTGGCATCCTCGCCTAGATCATAGCACTGACAGCAAGTCAGTGAATGCTCACATTTAAACTAATGTATTTATTTTACTTGACGATCAATACGGCGCCTCGTAATGTCGATCGTAGAGTACTAGGGGCGAAAAATACTAAGCTCGAATACTATGGTCCAAGTCTATGGTCCGATACCTGGCTCGAGGCTGGGTTCTGCGCTTTGACAGTGAACGCTGGCATTTTTAAATGAATGCATTTATTTTACCTGGCGATGATAATATGATACCATCCTATGGTTCGAGCGAGGGTCGGAGCCTCGTTCTGAGCGCACACTAACAGTTCTAACACTTTCCTGTTTGTATGGTTGTTGAGCCAGGTATTAGGAACACGTATTGCAGCAAAAATTGTCAACGCAGAAATACTCTTATTAACGCGGAAACGGCGATAGATTCACTTATTTTGAATTTTGACAACGAATGTGTGCAAAGTAAAACTTTTGTTAACACAACTTTGCTTGCAAGGGCTGTTATCTATTAAAACTCTCACCTACCTATATCTATATTTAGAAAACATGTAAGACTATCTTTTTGCGGTTACAATTCTCGTCATTTTAAGAAACATTTGGTGATTATATTATATTCATATATGTTTACCCATTCAGTACGAAATATATGTTCAGAAATCAAAATATTGTATTACCGTCATCCTTATCAAAGATTATATCACTTCCTGGAACCACCTCTTACATTTTATATTTAAAATAAAAATAATCTGAACTCGCTGAATAATACTCTTCACCAAATAAACCATTCATATCTCTCTCTTATCACGTCGCAATAATAACATAACACACGAGTCTGGCATTCGCGAACGTTTGTTGTTATTAACCGCACCTTTTTTCGTCTTGTTACAGGGAAGTTACGGGAAAGTGCCTCCAAATTCTGGTAACCGAAGTCCGAGTTACGGCCTAACCGCAAGTGCTGGTCACAGTTCGTCATCGTCGACAATGGAGAAACGTCCTTTTAACAACAATTTAGACGAATTAGATTCCTTGCTTCAGGATTTGAGTAATAGTCGGCAACATGCTTCAGGTAAATATTTTAACGATTAAAAAGTTTATGTATACATTAAGTCAGTATCTAATATAAATAGATGGAAATAGATAAAGTAAATATAAACAGGTAGAAAATCGTTTCTCTATCCTTTTTACCGGTAATATTTTTGTACTAATCGGATTTAATGTTTTAGTACGCTATTTGTCATATTCAGCTCCTATCGTTAATTCTAAATTGCTAATTTACGGAACAAATGTTTTGGCTATAACCATAGCTGTACATAGCACGTATATACCGTGGTCTATCCATTGCCCCGAATTTATGGCTCTATTTTCCACTTTTCCTTTGCCTCTTTTTCTCTACTCCAATGCTGGTCCGTCTCTCCTTCTACTATTCCTAAGAGTATAATTTAATGCCTGTTTTGGTCATTGTTTATCATTCATTTTCATTATTTGTCCTACTATATAAGTTGTTTTGACACTTTTATATCTATTGTGATCCATATCCCTGCTGTTTTTTTTATTTCTTTCGAAATAAGACACGCTCTTCTTAGATACTCCATTTCTACTGCTACTTAGTATTCAATCAGTTTTTGAACCAGATACTTTTGCTAGAATTACTTCATCGTCTGCGAAGAAAAGATTTGTTGGATACTGGTTCCCAATTTCTGTCCATTTCTTTTTCCAATTTGTTAATGTCACCTGAATATATATTTTAAATAGCGTTATATATAAGAACATCCCTTCCAATATTTTAAAAAGATCTTTTAAGAGTACAGTGGCATAGGCATTCTGGAAATCTAAATATACTAAATGGGTGACACTAGTTACAAAAGATCATGCAAGGAATCAACTCTGATGTTTTGTTTCAATATATTGATCCTCGATTCTTTTCTTTATTAATCGACCGTACAATCTTTTCACCGAACTGGTAACATGAATTCCTCCATAACTCTTACCCTTGTTTTTATTTCTTTTTTTGAAAATTTTTTCGCCAATCTTCAATCTTCTGGAATGTCTTCTTGTTGTACCAGATATTTATTAAAAATCTGCTACATTAATGTTAATAAGATTGCTGCTCCATTTTTTACAAATTTTGTAGGGATGTTTCTAAGTCCTGGGGCTTTCTTATTTTCTGTGAGGATTCTCGTATCTCATCAATCGATACTCGCGTTTCACTGACGTATCTAAAAAGTTCTTCAATTTCACTTTATGTTTCATGTTTCATTTTTTCTCCTTGTTATATTTTTCTTAACTTCTTTATTTCCGTAACCATACATTACCCAATCTTCTTGTTTTGTATGTAACCTGGTTTTATAAGATCTACTTATTCTCTGGCTAACTTTGGCTTTCGTAATGACTTCGGAACAAGAGAAGCTTTATATATTTTTACAACTCTTGCTTAAAAATGTCGAGACCAACAGAATGATCTTCTATATAATACGTCGCTTTAGTTTATGAGAAAGGTTTCAACACAGTTTTTTACACAGCCAACCATATTTTTTATGATTCAGAGGGACTCGCTTGTAGGCGTCAAACACTTTTGCACACTACTAAGTGATTCCATAAACATATAGTACCCATCAACTAGACCTGTACAAGTTGGTACAAGCTTCCAGAATTCCTAAATGAATATCATAAATAAAAATCTCACGTGAATGTGTCAATAAAGCCATTAATTTATGTGAAGACATTTTTATTGCGTATGTCTTACAGACAAGTTGTAGTTGATACATTTATTTTTTGTTGTTTGTCTCCAACATTGGCAACTGATACCAGTCCCGTTTGCAGAGAAACTGGTATTTTTATGATGATAAACTATGATGATTTGGGCATTCTGGGAACCATTTCTTTTTAGATGAAAATCATGCAGCAAGTTTTTATATTAGACATTTGAGCTCAATATAATTAATGTCATGCATCTTCTTCTTTCCGAACTTTAACTAAAATAGTGTCCAAAATATAGCTCACCAAACTAGAACTCTGCAAGTCATGTTAATATTTGACATATAAATGTAGACTTTGATTTGAGACTTTTTATTTCTGAACGCGGCATTGTAAAACTTTTCATCATCTTGTTGTGATTGGCTTGTTGTGATTGCCTTAAAATAAACAGAGATAAAACGAGAGTCATGACAATTGACAGATCATCATTGAACAATCAAAATCATCTGGTCATGATAAACAATATCGCTGTTGTAGATAAATTTGTGTATCTGGACTCATTAATAACCAACAAAGGAAGCTGTACTGAAGAAATAAAGCGGCGGTCAGCAATCGCAAAAAGCGCTATGGCAAAGTTAACAAAAATTTGGAAAAGCCATGAAATAACTTCTTCTTAACGTGCCCTATCAAGTCCCCTTGACGTTGGCGATTAACATGGCGAAACTGTCTCTGTCTCGAGCTACCGATAAAATGATGAAATAACTTGAAACAACTACCGATGAAATAACTACCGATACAAAAATGAGCTGAGAATACCATGGGTGACCCGAAGAGCAAATTAATCCATACTGGACCAGCTAAACATAAAGAAAAGACTAAGAACACAAATATCAGAACAAATAATAAGCTATTTTGGACATGTGCTTCGAAGAAATTGTCTTGAAAAACACCATCCAGGGAAAAGTAGAAGGCAAAAGAAATAGAGGTAGATCTCCCACACGATACACGGACCATATTGTTGCTACCATTGGCGCTCCATTGTCAGAATGTGCTGGAATGGCAGAAGATAGAAAAACGTGGAGGAACATTGGAAAAATTAGCTAATAGCTTCATGATATCACGATACCTGCATCAGGTTAACGACTAAGAAGTTGTGATTGGGTCTATTTGAGATTCTTCCGGATTACGTAATTAAAGAAATAAATTCATGTCGTTCTTATATACAGTTTCAATACAGTTTCGAGCTTAAACCAAAATGTTCTATCTATCTATAATATAAATATCTAATTTTTTTAATAGAGTTCAATCGCGATTGAGTGTATTCCTTCAATTTGCTGACACTTTTACATATTAAAATATCTAGTCCTTAAGTTTTGGGCAAATTAAATCAATGTATAATTTTTTTCCGGTCTATTCCGTTGTAAGAAGATACAACCTGGGAGGCCCTCTAGTCTATAGGTGAGGCACATCTTCTTGGTTTCTGTGTTACATGAGTAATACGTTTTCTACTTGACTTATATTTACTACTAGTACTGGTAGTTTTACTGAACCGTTTAATTCAGTGGTTCTCCGATGCCGTTGAGTGGTACCAGTTGGTCTGACTTCAAGAATGATTTTTCAAAAAAATATCGTTAACTTATTTTCCTCAACCACCCTCGTGAGGAGGCTGTTGGCAATAATGAGAGGATCTACTTATTTCGCTAGACACTCTGTCGTCAGATCTTCGTTAGTTATTTTAGAATGTATATCGTGCAACTCATGTTATAATTCGTAATGGTGAGGTTGACTTTTGAATTGCTATTTGCTACGCTCCACATCCTCATATTCCCAATGTAGTCGTAGCAAACACTAATAGCACAAAAAAAGAAAATCTCGTCAAAAGAGCCTTCTAAAACTCCTAGAAAACTTCTAGAAAACATCTACTATGCAAAACGTTCAAATTTATAGAATTACAAATGGTTGTATATAGAAGAACAATATATTAACATATTAAAATAATATCTAAATTATAGTTTGATGGGAGAGTGGTTTAGAATGAAATGTTATTGAATTTGTTTCAAAGGTAAACTCTATTGTCTTTTTTGTTACAGAAAACATGAATGGTAGCCACTATAATGGTGCTATTGCCGATTATGGAGGTCGTAGTTCAGCTAATTATTCTAGGCCATCCAGCGCACAAAGTACTCTAAATAGGCCATCTGTAGACAGCTTACTTGATGAGTTAAATTCAGGGTGAGTGTTGTTTTTTATATAATTGTATTTCTATTACATTGGATGCAATTTTTGAACGACTTATAAAACTTACTCATTTTATATAATTGTCTTATTTTATAATCTATTATATCGGGTATTGAATCGTCAAACGGGCCATAAGAAACTCAATGGGAAATCTTCCCTAATTATTTTGCATAAAAAGTCATTTTTGTTTTTTTTTAATTTGGGTCAATAACAATGATGGCGAAGTTCTAGCATGTTTTTGTAAAAATTTTTACGTTTGGGCTAGCTTCTCAAATGTTTTTATAATTCCACACATGCAGTATAGACTAATTTTGAAATATCTATCATTTTGTTATTACAGAAACATTCAGCTGTAGGTTACCAATAAATATAAGAATTTTGACAGTTGTTGTCTTAAAAATAGTTTAAAAAGTCAATATATAGTTTTCTTAAAATAAAGCTGAAAGATTTATAGCCTCTGCCATTAGCGGCGAATAAAACGATTGTCTATTTAAATCAAGTATCTGTCAATTGCCAAAAATGCTTATTGAAAAATGTCGGAAAATTTCATAGTCTTATTATTTTATGAAATGTGTCTGCTCTTAAATCCGTTGCCAAAAACAAATTAATAATATGTCTGTTATAAAGTGAACGGCATAAAAATCTACCGCTCTGACATATTCCATGTACATATTCATATCTACCTATTTTTTATTATAATCGGGTACTTGATTGCTGCTACTGATATTTTGAAAGCTTATTCTATTCTTATGCTAATCTTTGCAGTCTAAACTGCCTTTCAAACACGTATAGTATATTTATTGATCATTTGTGTTCAAATAAGAACGCTGTTGAAAACTTTTTCCATACTTTTGTTTTGATTGGGGATGGTTGATTCAACGTTCTGTATTATTTACTATTTTTAAAGCCACAAGTAGTTCAGTTCAAAATACGTTTATTTTGACGTTTCAATTTCAACTTCGGAAATCGTTCTCTAAATACAAATTAAACAAATTTTTTTTGTTACTTGGTAATACCAAAAAATTCTACTAATAATTTAATTTTGTCTGATTTATTCATATTGACAATTGAATCATATGCTATATATTTTAAAGTAAATTAGTTTAAAATTATGTCAATATTTTGAGTTTTATTCCTAGGACGACTTTATTAGAAGGTGGGAATACTAATCACAAAATTCATAGTGTGTGATTTGTCTTTAAAAAGACGTCTTTAAAATGATCTCGTTGGGAAATCCAATGTAAATCATGAGGAACAATCAGAAAACAATCAACACTTCTATAGCCAATAATTATTTGCGGAGGTCCTACAGCCTCTGCCGCATCCCGCATTTCAATCCCCACCATTCATCCTCATTTATGATTCCTCTGATTCCTTCTGTCTCCTCTTTTTTAACCCAGGATGCAGGACTGGACCGTTCTTCATATTTACATAACATGGGTAAAAAAGTATCCCTCTAGTATATTGTCTTTCATTGAGCAAAGCAATTTTTTTTTAATAATACATTAAAACAGATAAAAGAAACCTTTAATCAACAGCATGTTTTGTCTACGTAAATTGAATGCAGGCAAGTAATTTGTTGTATTGATTGAGTATTGATTCGTGTTATCAGGAACCACTCCACCGCGCTCCAATGCTACAGACCATCCCTTTCCTCCTATAGGGGAATCCTCTGATGCTCGATAGAGGCTCACTATCAGCCAAATGCTTATCGTGTGGAAATCCTGGGTACAACACGATATCCTAACTCGATCCATGCAGGCTAGCGTGAGGCGCTCTTTTTGCTGATTTTTCTAGTGATGTTTCATCGAACTGAAGTTGCTTGTTCGGGCCTCTAGTCTTCGGTGCCCGAGAATATGGGCCCTTCGTGCCCAGGTTTTGGGGATTTGTTAATTATTTTGGATGGCTACAGATTTTTTCTAATTTTTTTGGTGGCCAAAGAATTTTTTTTTGAAGGTTGTCTTGAAAATAAACATCAATTATTATAATTGCAAGTGCTGCGCGCTGGAGTTTCTTCTGTTGGTAGAGCTACGAATTATGTAGATGTGTTTTCCAGGATTTGCTGTTTTTACGAATTATCTAGATGTGTTTTCCAGGATTTGCTGTTTTATATCTCGCAGGATCGGGCTTGGGTGATTCTCTAATTCTGCAGTCCTAATTCTGGCTTTTTCTGTCATTTTATCTTTTATCACCCTTCACTATTGCAGTTCTCTAAACAGAAAGCGTTCAGCGACGTATCTGGGTACATTTGCCGCTTCTCTGAGGATGTTATTGTGGGCTGCTTGTATTTTGTTTTTATTTGAATTTCTTATGTGTCCCCATGCATGTATTTTGGCACATACGCGTTCGCATTTTTTATCCTTTTTGGATGGACACATGAAGCATGGTTTTTTTTTCCACAATTTTGTTAACAGTCGGTCCCTCATTGTATTGCCAATTTGCACAAATTTTCATGTCTTCAAGAAAATGATTTTGGAGTTTTCCGTTTTCCGCTCTCCTTGTCATGTAGGCAAAATTAATACTGTGGACAATTCCTTTAAGAATAATCTCCGTTTCTCATTAAGTCCATTCTTATAGTCAGAGTGTTTAGTCAAAAATAAAATAAATGCATTGAGAGCCCCTACATCCATCATATTATTCCAGATAATAACCATCTTTTTGTTTGTCTTTTACAATGTCTAATTTGCAATGTTCAGATACATTACGTCAACAGTTCCTTTTCTTTTATTATAAAAATGGTAATTAATAGATTCTTTTTCTGTTTTAATCAATATATTTGTCATTATGATGAGTGATCAATAATAGTAATACAAACATTAGTCAGTTTACTAACGAATTTACTAAAATGTTGGTATTTTGAGAACGATTTCCGAAGTGGAAATTGAAACGTCAATAAACTTACTTTAACCTTTATTTGTGGCTTATTCCCATTAAAATAGTAAAGATGCGACAAGAAAATAGCTTCAGAACAATATAAATACTATAAAATGTATAAATCAATATATACGATTGGCAAAATGGAGCGATTTAGATAAAACTAGGAACATAAAAAAGGCTAGGGGAAAAGAGCGAAATATGAAGAGGCGTGGGGCCAAAAAGGGATCGATGGGATAGCCGAAGACATATGAAATCATAATTTAAAAATAAGTTTCCTTTTCAAAGTCAAAATAGAAAGATTTAAAACCTCTCATTAGCAGCAAATAAAACGGTTGTCTACTTAAAAACATAACGTATGTCAATTGCCAGCAATATTTTTAATAGAAACTGTCGTATAACCGTATTGGCTGATTAGCTTTTTGAAACGTGTTTTCTGTCAAATTCGCTGCCAAAAACAAATAACATGTTTATATGCTGTAAAAATGCTGGCAATGAAATTGTTAAAAGCCTTAAAAGTGATTAATTGTGTACAATTCGACAGTGACATCAGTCTGTAAACATACATGTATAAATATCAGTATCTAAGTGCATTTCGATATTTTTACAATGAACACGTACCGTCAGATGGATTCTATATCTAGATATTCGATGCAACAATTTAGTCTTCTTCTTACGGTGCCTTATCCTTAAGGACGTTGGCCATTACATTTGCCCATTTAATCTTATTTGTAGCAGCCCTGAATAGTTCTATGGAGGTCATGTTCGTCTATTGCCGTAGGTTTTTAAGCCAAGAGTTGCGTCTTCGTCCTGGTCCTCTTTTGCTATTGACTTTGCCTTCGATTAAGTTGGAGCAGTTCATACTTTTGATTTCTTATGCTGTGACCAAAATATGGTGTTTTCCATTCTTTTATTATCTTTCCTTATTCATCCCCCGCAAGACTTCCGCATTTGTCGTATGGCTCATGTAGGATATTCTGTGCATTTTACGGTAACACCAGAGTTCGAATGCTTGGATTCTTTTTTGTGTTGCTTCTGTCATTGTCCAGGCTTCAACACCATAGAGCAAGGTGGGGAAAACATAGCACTTAAGTATTCTAGTTCTCAATGAGATGCCCAGCTGGCGGTTGCATAGAACTTTTTGTATTTTGTAAAACATTGTACGTACCTTTTCCAGGCGTATTCTTATCTCTAGTGAGTGGTCCCAAGTTTCATCAAGATTACTTCCAAGGTACGTTGTTCTTGTTACTCTTTCCAGATCTGTTCCGTCGACATTGACCTTCACCCTTCTGTTTTGGTGCTTGCTGATGACCATCGTTTTTGTCTTCTTTGTATTCAATTTCATTCCAAATTCTCTACAGGCTGTCGTTACTCGGTCCATTAAGCGTTGCAGGGCTTCAGCATTATCTGCCAGTATGACAGTGTCATCATCATATCGCAGGTTATTTATACATTGCCCGTTTATAATTATACCATCCGAGGTGCCTTCCAAAGCTTTCTGAAATATCTTCTCAGAGTAAACATGGAACAGCAAAGGTGATAGGACACATCCCTGTCTTACTCCTTTCTCGATATTGATTTTTCCAGATGTTTCGCTTTTTATTCTAATTTTAGCCCTTTGTTCTTGGTAAAAAGACCAAATTCATGATCATCTCCAGAAACTTGGATGCATTTGAAAACTCCACCATAACACTGAATAGTAAATCCATAGAAAGAGTGAGTAAATTTAAATACCTGGGATCGTGGCTTTTTGAAGCCTGGGCATCGGACAGGGAAGTAAAATGTCGCATTGAGCAAGCTCGACAAGCTTTCGTAAAATTCAAGAAGGTACTGACTTGTTCTGAGTTCGATCTTCAACTGAGACTAAGGTTTACTAAGTGCTACGTATGGTCAGTGCTGCTATATGGCGTAGAGGGCTGGACACTCAAAACGAGGGATATAAACAGATTGGAAGCTTTCGAAATGTGGCTTTATCGCCGTATCCTAAAAATACCATGGACAGCGAAAATCACAAATATAGATGTCCTTAAAAGAATAAACCAAGAACGCCAACTTTTCGAAACCATCAAGAAAAGGAAAACGGCGTATCTAGGTCACATCATGCGAAATGAAAAATACCA